TTATTATTATTATTATTGAACTGAAAGAAATTCAAATAAAATTTAAACAGAGTTAGAAACGTCTATGGTTGCATAAATCGACGTTTACCAGACAATAAATAAGATTCACAACGTTGTTTAAAGAGACGAGGTTTTGAGATATTTGTAACAGATAGAGACAAAATTGTAAACCAAATTTTGGGTGCAAGAGTAAATATTCTATCATTTAAAATTTTTAATCTGCTGAATGGTATTACATACGGAATGAAGTGACGAGTAGAGTTAAAGATGTATGAGGGCTTGAGTGGAGAAATATTTGAGAAATTAACTGGTAACAAATTTATTGACATATTTGAACATGAAAAAAGCAACAATTCAAATATGTAATTTGTATAATGTAAGAAGACCTAAAGAAGAAAAATATTCATCAACATGAGAAGTAATTTTTAAATATAATAATAGTTTTATAAATTTTTTTTGAAGTCTATATAATTTAAAAACTTAACCAGCAGGGCTATTGCCCCAAATAAAATTACAATATGATAAATGTAGAAAAACAAATGCATTGTACAGCAAAATTAAAATAGTTTTATTAAGTTTGTATCTTATTTTCTAAAGAAAATCTAATGTTTTGTTTATTTCAGAAGAAATAGTATCAATATATTTAACCCAAGAAAAATTACCTGAGATAATTAAACCCAAAAATTTAGTACTGAAAGTCCTCTCCATTAAATGATTATTCAAACGAAGGTTTAAGGGACCATAAGTATTGGTTAGGATTCTCGGAGCAATAATCATGTAGTTACATTTTTGTTAATTAATTTTTATCATAGTTTATTAGTATAAAACCAGTTAGCAATAAGTTTTAAATTATAATTGAGTAAATCCAAATCCTTCAGAGGTGATTTAGTTGAATAGAAAAAACTAGCGTCATCAGCATAAAAAATAATTTTAAATATGGTTTTAATTGAGAACAAACAAGTCATTAATAAACAATATAAAAAGCAAGGGTCCAAGAATCGATCCTTTTGGGACACCTTAAAGTACCAAGATTTCTTGGAATTTACATAACTCTTACATACTATATTGAGTAAATAAGACATAAACCAAGAGAAGAGCAGACTTACCACGAAAGCCATTTAAGTTTACATAAGAAAAAAGTGTGATCAACAAGATCAAAAGCTTTACTTATAATAGGACATTTCTATCATCCAATGTGGTTTTGTCGAGGATTGTGGCACAAGAAACGCTATCGTTATGCTACGAATGATTAGTGAATGAGCGATTGAAATGAAGAAATACTTGTTTAGATGTTTTGTCGAATACTCCAAAGCATGGAAATATTGGAAATTTTGGACATTGATGGAAAAGGCACGAGAGATATCAAAAACCTCTATTGGGGCCGAAGGGCAGCGATGAAAGCTGTTAACAAGATGACTAGTTTTGTCGAAATAAAGAAAGGTCTTAGACAAGGCGGTGTATTCTCTCCAGACCTGTACAAGCTCTATAGTGAGATCATCATGAGAAAGATAGAAGATCTACCTGGAATATCCATTTGAGGCGTGAATATAAACAATGCAAGGTATGCCGATGATACAGCTCTTATAGAGAAAAAACTGCAAACAATTGTTTCCAAACTGGTTTTTGAAAGTGAAAAGAAAGGCTTGCAAATTAACTTCAACAAAACAGAGTGCCTGGTTATCAGTAAAAGCAATACCGCCCCGATCTGCTCCATAAAATCATTATTGGTAAACAGGTGAAACAAGTCAACAGCTTCAATCATCTCGGAAGTCTGATTACCTCAGATTGTAAATGGGATATGGATATCAAACAAAAGTTAGCTATGGCGAAAGATGCATATTCTAAAATGAAAAGCATCCTCACCAACAGCAAAATCAGAATATCAACAAAATTAAAACTGTTAAGTTGTTACATTTTTTCTTTGCTAACTTATGGCTCTGAGTCCTGGACCATTTCAAAAGAAATGAAAAAAAGATTAACGCTGCTGAGAGGTGGTTTTTGAGAAGAATTATGAAAATTAGTTGAACCTCTCATATTTCGAATGAGGATCTATTAAAAGTCCGGTTATGAAAAGAGGAAATTATTACAGATAATCCGACGGGGATAGTTAAAGTTTTTTGGTCCCATTAAGCGGAATGAAAGAATGGAAAATCTAACAACTACTGGAAAGATTGCTGGGCAAAGAGATTGCGGTCAACAACGAATTACATTCGTGAAGTCAATCAATCAATCAATTAGCTTATAAAGCGCTATTTCCGCGATGTTCAACAGCGCTCCTCAATAAATTTTGAAAACAGATGGGTCTTGAGATCTGCTCTGAACTTCGCAAGTGATGGAGAAGTAGTCAGTGAAGTAGGTAGAGAGTTCCATAGAAAAGGACCAGGAAAAGCAAAAGCAGATTTGGCAAAAGAGTGTTTAACACGAGTTAAGAAAAAGCGAGAAGAAGAAGACGATCGTAAACCGGGGCGTTTAGGTTCAATTAATATATCTGATAAATACTTATGAAATAATTTAGATTGAGACTTATACATGAACGTGCAAATTTTAAAAATTATTCTATATTTTATAGGTAGCCAGTGCAAGAGAACAAGATATGGAGATATATGAAAAAAGAAAGGGGCATGAGCAACTAGACGAGCAGCAAAGTTAAAAGCTTTACTTAAAGGATAGAGTATAGAGTCAGGAAGACCATAGTAGAGCGAGTTACAATAATCAATCCTAGATAAGACTAACGAAGTAACAAGAAGGAGAAGAGTAGGATCATCAAGAAAAGGCAAAAGTTTTTTTATTCTACGTAGATGAAAGTAAGAGGTTCTAGCAACACTATTAATCTGAGAAGAGAGAGACATAGTAGAATCAAATCATCAGCATATAGTTGACTAGAGAAAGAAAAGTTATTAATAATACGAGGTAGTTCAGAAGTATAGAGTATAAATAGAAGAGGGCCAAGGATAGAACCCTGAGGTACCCCGAAAGTAAGTGTAGAGGAGTTAGAAGTAGAATTATTGAGAACAACAAAAGAAAAACAATTACAGAGATAAGAAGAAAACCAAGATAGACAAGAATCAGTAATATTAAAAGAAAGATGCAGCAGTCTCAAAAGAATAGTATGGTCAACAGTATCAAAAGCTGAGGAAAAGTCAAGAGCAAGAAGAAGAGTAAGATTACTATTGTCACTAGAGGGAAGGATATCATTGTGTATTTTAAGTAAAGAAGTTTCAGTACTGTGAGCAGGTCTGAAACCAGATTGAGATATAGGTAGCAGGGAGTTAGAGTCTAAATAGGATGACAGTTGATTAAAAACTACTTTTTCTATTATTTTAGAGATGAAAGTAATATTAGTTACAGGTCTATAATTAGATAAAAAGGTAGGATTAGATAAGAAGTAGGAAATTTAGAGGTTGAAAGAGATAAATTAACTAATTTGAGAATGATTGGATAAAATATTGAAGAAAATTCTTTAAGTAAATTAGAAGGAAGTAGATCTAGAGAACAGGTTGTAGACGACATAGAATTAATAATTTTAGTTAGTTCTAAAAGATTTATTGGAGTAAATACAGAAAAAGATTCAGATTCAGTAGTAAGTTTAGTAAAGTTATGAGAAGAAAAATTAGAATTAGATGTTCTTAAAGAAGTAATTTTATTTACAAAAAGTCATGAAACTGTTGAGCAGAAAAAGATGAGTGAGAGGATTTTTTATGTAGAAGTTTAGATAGAACAGACCACCTATTTTTAGATGTTGAAGCAGATGTTATAAAATTTCTAAGAAAAGTAGAGTGTTTAGAGAATAGTAGATATTTATAATTAATCAATTCAGATTCATAGATAGAATAAAGAGAGTTAGATGGATTTAACCTATAGGCTTTCTCCAATCTTCTAACACTTTTCTTGGCTACTACACAAGCATAATCAAACCAAGGAGCCTTACGAGAATAGAGCCCATAAGTAAATGATTTAAGAGGAATAAGCTTATCAAGAATAGAAGTAATATAGATATTAAAAGCATAGACAAAATCATCAACATCAGAAAATAAGGTAGTATCAAAAATAGTTTCAGTAAGAAATTGAAGAAAAATATCTTTATTAAGAGAAGACCAGCATCTTTTAGAAATAGACATAAATGAATTTGAAGGAAGAAAATCTAATGAAAAAACAGATTCAATAAGAAGGTGATCAGAATAAGGAACAGAGCTAGCAGAGATATTAATAGGCTTAGAAAAAGATGAAGCTATAATAAAATCAATAGTGTTACCAGAAGTATGGGTAGGAAAAGAACAATATTGAGTTAAGTTAAAAAGAGACAAAATATCATTAAATCTACGAGTGTAAGAACATGATAAATTATTGAAGTGCAAGTTGAAATCACCAGAGATGTAGAAAGGAATAGAAAAAGAGTAGAGAGATTCAGCGAGCGAGTAGAATTCATCTAAAAATAAAGTGAGAGAAGAAGAAGGAGGGCGATAGATTACAGCAATATAAAAATATAGAGAAGAAGACTTAAGAGATACAGCAAGACATTCAAAAGAAGAAAAATTAATAAAGGAAGTATTAATGGAAGCAGTAAATAGAGATTTATAAAATAGACAGATACCCCCATAAGAAGAATGAGAAGATGATAGAAGATTTTTTGGAGGTCTAGAAAGTTCAAGGAAGCTGTAACCATCAGGAGTAGCAAGAATAAGAGAGGGAGAGTTAGAGTCCTCGTGCCAAGTTTCAGTAAAAGTAAAAAAATCAGATAAAGAGGAAGAGATTATTTGATGGATATAAAGCGATTTTTTATTAATTGATCTTATGTTAATATTAAACAGTGAAAATGTAGAGGTAGGTTGGATATTGGTACTTTTAAATCTAGTTATATTATTTAAACTAATAGAATTAGAATTATTATTCTTATCATTAGTATTAATTACATTAGAGTCCACTCCTTGTTGATTTGAGTTTTAGTTTGCAGACATAACAATTTAATTTACATTTGTATGTACTGATTTGTTAATAAACATATGGCTTCAAAAAATAAATGCACAGCCTGTGCAGGTACGGTACCAATGAAGGAAATGCTACACTGCAAATTTTGTGAGTTGGTGATTCATTGGAAGTGCGCTTCCATTTCTGAGCAAACAATGAAGGATATTCAACAATGTACCGGTTTAATATGGTGTTGTAATGGCTGTGTTGGACAGATGGAGGCTCTCAAACCTGGCAGTCAGTTAAGCGTGATGGGGGGCGATATCAAAAACGATTCATGAAAGCAATGCGGTTATTATTAACCAAATTAAAGATTTGGGGGAAAAGTTTAATAAAACGCTTGTCAATGATGATTTGAACTTGGCGATGAAAAATCTAGAAAGCAAAATAATTATGCTGCAAGATGAACTGAAAAATATAAAAAACATACAAGATTGCAACAACGTCATTAGTGGTCAAATAAAGGAGATAAAAAGCATACTTGATAAAAAAATCACGGAAGATATTCTGGATAAAAAAATAAATTCACTACAAGGTCTTAGAAAGTCGTATTCAGATGCTGTGAAAGATGTTGTTGGGAAGAAAGTTGAAACTGTAAATAATGAAGTGATGAGTATGAATGATGGAATAAAGGCACTAAAAGAAGAGGTCATTAGTACAAAGAAAACAATTCAATTATATAGTGAGGTTGAAGAAAGATCGTTCAACTTTATAATTTTTAAATTGAAGGAATGTAACAACCTCAGTTTTAATGATAGCAAAAAAGAAGATGATGAAAAGATTATGCGTATTCTTTCTTAGTGCAATAACAGATGAAAAATTTGATATGTCAAATGTTGTTAGACACTACAGATTGGGCAAGAGATCGGATAATGTCAGACCGCTTTTGGTTAGACTGAAGTCAAAGGTTTTGAAAAACTTAATTATGGAAAGTCTAAATAATTTGAAAAATTTAGATGATGATCTGAAGGGAATAGGTATTAGCCACGATATGACAAAAGATCAAAGAATCAAGTGTAGAGAATTGATGAATTCAGCGAAGGAGAAGGAGGCAGCTGATAAAGAGGATTTTGTTTACAGAGTGAGGGGCGAACCTGGAAATTTGAGAATAATTCGAATAAAAAAAAGATTGCACTGAATATGTGCTCATTCGATATCGATGGAATATTTGAGGAACTTGATGATAAATGATGTAAACAGAAAAGTTAAAGCAATATTTTCGGTAGGGGCAATGGGCGGATATGAATAAAAAAAAAGTGGAAATTTTGGTAATGTGAATTTTGTCATTAACTATAGGGAAAGTAACATGGTGAATGATTAATTGGGTGGTTGTGGTGGTGATGATGATGACCCTGGTGATGATGATAGACGTGATGGTAGATTTATTGATGATGGTCGAATTAATGTTACCTGTGACGGGGATGATGATGGAGTTGATAGCGGTAGGACTGATGATATTAATGATGGATATTTGAAAAAATTACGTCTAGGTCTTTTAAATATAAGATCAATGATTTCAAAGACTGATACTATTTATGAATTATTACATGAAGACTTAGATATTCTTGTGTTAACAGAAACCTGGCATAGTTCATCAGATGATGTTTCGGTTAAACTAGCTATGCCCCATGGATTCAGGTTTGTTGATTGTTTGCGAAGAGAGGATCCATATCACGGGGGGTTAATCATTTACTTTCGTGATCTCTTTAAACACAAAAGGATAGCTTTGCCGGAATTATTAACATTTGAGGCAATTGTGGTTATATTGACAGTAGGCACAGTTAATGTACTATTTGCCATTATCGACCAGGATCGCAGTTGGTTTCTAAAGAATTTTTTCAAGAATTGACCAGTATCTTGGAGAACCTAATGTTATTGAGTGATCATGTAATATTATTAGGTGATTTGAACGTGCATGTCGAAAGAAATGATGATGTTAATGCCAAGCTATTATCGAATGTGTTTGACATGTTTTCAATGCAAAATGTAATAAAAGAACCTACACATATGCATGGTGGAACGTTGGACTTGGTGGTACCAGTAATAAATATGCCTGTTACTCGTGTTAGGGTATATCCTAGTGGTGTCATTTCTGATCACAGTTTGGTTTCATTTTGTTTGCCAATAGTTTGTTCCCCTGTGTTAAAGGTTAAAAAGACTGTACGGGCATGGAGGCGTGTGGATGAAAATCATTTGCTTACCTTGATTAATGGATCTCCGATAAGTGCTGCTTGTAATGACGATGATGTAGATAGAGCAGCGGAGCTCTTCAACAATGAAATACTGTTGCGCCTCTTCATGTTGTTGAAACAAGAATGGTTCCAACTGCACCATGGTTTGATAGTGACTGTAGAGGAATTAAACGTGATTGTCGAAGGTATGAACGCAAATATAGGAAAAATAAATGCATGGTTAATAGGCAAAACTGGATTGGCCTAATGAATATGAAACAAGAGCATTTTGCAAAAAAAAGAGAATCATACTGGAACAATTTAGTTAACACTAACGCTAACAACCCTAAACAGTTATGGCGAGTTTTAAACAAGGTTTTATGTAACAAAAAAACTAACACGGTTGATGTAGCAAACAATAAAATTACTGCCAGTGAATTTGCAGAGTTTTTCAGGAAAAAGATTGAAAACATTAAAAAAACCATAACAGGGCATGGCGTACCTTCTTTCAGTTGTAAGATTAAAGAACATCAAGTATTCTCGAATTTTTTGGAGTGCTCAAGTGATGATGTTAACATTTATAAATAACAGTTATTTTGAAAGCCCCTCCGACAACATTTTTGCTAGATTCCATCCCGACGAGTCTTTTCAAAAAACACATTGAACTGTTTTTGCCGTACTTGACGGATTTGATCAATATGTGTTTGAAAACTGGAAGTTATCCAATGATTTTTAAAAAAGCAATTGTTACACCGCTATTGAAGCAACCATCGTCCGATGCAAATGGGTTGAAGAGTTTTCGTCCTGTGTCAAATTTGTCGTTCATAGCAAAGATTGTTGAAAGGGTGGTTACAAGACAGCTTCTGCAATACTTGGATAAAAATAATCTTCTTCCGTGCTTTCAGTCGGGGTACAGAAGATTCCACTCTACGGAAACGGCACTGTTAAAGCTGTTGGCAACGTTATTTCAGTCATCAGATTCAAAGCAAGTGACATTGTTAGCTTTACTTGATATGAGTGCTGCCTTTGATTGTGTGGATCACAATATACTTGTTCAAAGAATGTCAGCAAGCTATGGAATTTCAGGCACTGTGCTAAGATTTTTCAAGTCGTACTTAAATGACAGATCACAGCGGATATTATTTGGTAATGAATATTCGGAGGAAGAAAAAATGTTAACTGGCGTCCCTCAGGGATCGGTGTTGGGGCCATTTCTCTTCTTCTTGTATACTGCTGATGTGTTTGACATGATGGAGAATTATAAGATGGAGTGTTATGCGTATGCAGATGATATTCAATTAGTGTCATGTGCTCCTGTTGAAAAGTTTGATGATTTAGCTGAAGGACTGAAAGATGCGTTGGCTGCAGTAAATATTTGGATGTCACAAAATGGAATAAAATTGAACAAAGATAAAACCAAGTTAGTGCCAATTGGTACATGGCAGCAGACATCAAAAATACATCGAGATGTATTAGAAATGGATGATGCCATTGTTAAATTTGAAAGATCATCCACAATTCTT